ATAGATATTATCCCTTGATCTTGATTTCTTGTATGACTCCTATCGTGTAAATTAGAATGTTCTAATCTTGTCATTAGCATAGATATTATGCTTCGTTCTTGATTTTAAGCATACTTCATGTCTCGTATTATATCCTTGTTTGCTAGCATAGATATTATGCCTTGTTCTAGATTTCGAGTATGCTTCTTGTCGTGTTCTTGGATTGTCCCAAATCTTGACTTGTTTCATATGTGTTTATATCATGATTCTTGTTGTTAGTGCTCCATGGTAGCTTAGGATGCTCCCTGAGTCTAACTTTGACATAGACGTTAGATAACATGATCCTTTTTGAAATGATTCATGTTGTCTAAAAATCTTAAAGAAATCGAGTCATGCATGCTCATTCCCTACGAATAAACTTGTTAGTCTTGTTTATTCACCCCGAAGTTACTGGATGTTTTGCAGGTAAAGAAGACTTGTTGTGAGATACACAATACTCTTAGACATGCTAGAAGTCTTGAAGTATTTTTGATGACATTGAATATGCACATGTTAGCATATCATGTTTGCTTTTGTTTATTTTGACAAAACTTGTATTCTTGATTCTATGTATGTAAAGTGTACATAAGTACATTCTTTTCAATGTATTTGACATGTATGAGATGAGGCCGGAGGCCAATGACATGTAAATCATATTCTATGTATCTCTTGACTTCTTGAAATATTATGACAACATTAAAAAATCGTAAGTTATTGTTTCCCATGTTTGCATCGGGTGTGGGAATTCTATTTTGATTATTCCGTACGATCTCATTAATCTTGTATGAAGTGTGACCAAGGGCCAAATAGTCATTTGAAACTATTTCCTAATTTTAGTTTCCATATTTTCCATTTCAAGTTCATTTTCGCTTTTTTGGCCGTTGGGGGGTCGGATTTTGACTCGGCCATTTCCGGGAGCCGCGGACTATTCCCGCACGCTCAAAATCACAATTTACGTCTGCGTGCATGATCGTTTCCAGAAAAAACCCTTTCATTTGTGATTTGAGCCTTCTATGGAATCATTTTTCAATTTTGTTGCATAATCTGTTCTAGGGGCATTATAGACTTTTCACATTAGTTTTTATTTTCTTCTTTTGACATGGTTGATTAGAAACGTGATTTTAGGGGGGGTTTCTTCTTCGTGTTTTTCCAAAAAATATCGTCTTGGTACCGGAAATCCCTCGTGAAGTTTCAGCTTCCAGTTTCATTTTAGCAGTTTTTTAGCTCTTTTGACCAGATTTCTTGGGAGGGCATTTTGGCCATTTCGTAGTGAGTTTTTTTTTTAATTCTCTAGCGAGTCACGTAGAAAACTCAATTTTGAGGGGGTTTTCTTCTTTGTGTTTTTGCAAAAAAATTCATTTAGGCCTCCAAATTCAGCCTTTGTTCTGGATTTTTCTGGAAAAAAAACCACACAGCAGCTTTATGGGCTGCTGCTAGCCATGGTGCACCCAGAGCGCGCGCGGCGTGCATGGGCGCGCGTATGGGGCTGTCATGGCCCCTCGTTGGGCTACCGCGACGTCAATTCTTCTTTTGGGCTTTTCTCCTTCGTCCGGACTCCGATTCAAGTGAATTTTTTTTTTAACTTGATTAATTTTTCGTCGTCTATCCAACGGTGTGCTCGGTTACACCTGGATATTTCTGGATAATTACCAGTTTGCCCTTAAAGCTTTAAGTGTCCATTTTTTGTCGTCATGTCGTTTCTCCTTCGTCCGGACTCCGAATCATGCGATTCTTGAGCCCATCTTGATTAGTTTTTTGTTGTCCTTCCAGCGGTGTGCTCGGTGGCACCCGAATCTACAGTTTTCATAAATGACTATTTTTCCCCTGGGGGCTTATTTGTCATATTTTCGATCTTTTGCTTCCGCATTAGTTCTTGTTGAGTTCCACGACCTCATGGAAGGTCACTTTGACTTCTTAGAGTTTTATTTTCTGTTTTCGCTTCCGCATATCGGATCCGTTATCGGGTCAATTTTCGGTTCATCACAGGACACGCTGGCCTAAAAATCAGGTTCGTCACATATCAGCAATAGAATGCAATCAAACACTAAAACGACGTCCTTTTATAAAAGGGTAATTTTGTAATCAAACATCTCTGGTGACCTCTTATGCCGAAGACTATTAATTTTGTCCTTAAATTGTATATTTTTAATAGATCAGGGGGTATTTTTTAGTTTAGGGGGTTTTGTGTTTTTTGCTGAAATTTTAGGGGGTTATATGCACTTTATCCTAAAAAAAAAAAAAAAAACATATAGACGTTGAAGATTTGTACAGTACTACTACTGCTCCTTCACACGTTGGGGCTTAGTCAAACACTGTTTATTTTAAACATTACCGCCATCTGAATGTAATATATGTATGTATTTAATGATTTATTCAATTCTTTGTCCTTATTTGAGAAAGATATTAACGAGGAAGGGAATAAAACATGATTGTTATGTTATATAAAGTAAAAAGGGCGAAACATAAATTCATTGTTTCAATAAATAAAGATGGGAATATACCTAACTCATGCTTATTTCATAATATGAAATTGGTATCTTAAAATTAAAATCGAAGAAAAAAATTTATTATTATTATTATTATTTTTCTCGCACCGTAAATAACATCTCCTTCTGACTTTATCTCCTGCTTTCCTTCTTCCATCTCTCTTATACACCTAAGGAATTAAATCATCATCATTATGATGGTCAAGAGCGCTCATGTAAAATGAAAGGCAAATTGAAGAAAAAATAATTTTATTATTATTGTAATTGCTTATTTAATGCTTGCTTTAGCGCACCTAAATGCTTTCAGTAGTCATGGACCATCTTCATCTCTTCATAGGATAAAGACAGCTTTTTCTCCTGCTTTTTTCTTAATATTAACTTTTGTATTTTACTTGTTTTAATGTGAAAAAATATGGTAGCTAATGAAGTACCTAAAATCATTCCCCCTTGTCTACTGAAAATAAAAACCCTAGTTATGCATACATTATGGAAAATATTTTATTTATTTTTTCAATGACAACAAATTTTAATTAGAAAACTCTGATTTTTCAGGCTAGTCCATCAGGATAGTTTCCAGAATTCTGTTTTAAATTTTAAGCCAAATAAAGCTTGACCTATTATTGCCTGCTGGATATGTTTGGTGAAATTATGTGGTTTCAAAGTTTAATTTGAAATGAAAAGTTTAATTTCAGTTTCTTAAAATTTCACTTTGTTATATAAAAAAAAAAAAACTTAAGCCAACTTTATTTGAATAACAACCTGGAATAACAATCCAGAAAATGTAATTTATTATTATTTTATTCTTAAATGATGTATTGCTTCAGTTGATTTGAGTGTTTATAAATTTTGATACCCAATATAAAAATTGGTTACCAAGTTAACATTATTGAGTCACCAGGGCGGCTCGGTATAACTCGGGACCTTAGGCGAAAATTAAAAAGTGACCTTTTTATATCATAATATGTAATATATTAATTATTAAATAATAATTAATTAAAATTCATTTTTTTTTTGCTTTTTGAGATCAAACTTATTAATTAAATTCTTATATTCAACTGTGGTTAAAATATCTTTTTCATTCGATAATATAGTTAATCCATTTAATTTTTCTTGTGACATAGTTGATCGCAGATATGATTTTATTGTGAATCAAGTCACTGTTATCTTTTTCTTTTAGTATTGTATAATCTTCTAATTCTTTTAGATAATTTGATTATTCATTTGCTGAACTTTTATCTAATTTTTTTTTTTAGGTTTTGATAATTAGTTGTAACAAATTTATTAATAGCTCCCTTTTAAGATTAAATTAGTTTATCTTTTTTTTATTTATTTATTTATTTTTTTTTATTTTTTTAATCTGGATTCATACTTACTAGCATACATATTAAAAAATATGGGTCAAAATAGTCACAAGACCCCCAACTCACGAACAAATATATGAAAAATATAGATATATACAAATTTATAATAACAAAAGTTAGTAAAACTAAAAAATAATTAAAGAAAAAAGAACAATATAACCTAATTTAGAAAGTCTCAATTCAATGCTACTACAAATTCTTCAATAAAAGAAAAGTGCGTTCAAATTGAGATTTGAAACTAATGAATATTGAGTCGAGAAAAAGAAAACTGTAAAGTTGTAATGAGAAAGGACTGAAAGTAATTTTGAAATTGCTAGGAGAGGAGAGAAATCAGAAAAACGTGTAAAAAAAACATGTATAAGATAAACAAAGAAAAAAAATATTAATGAGATATTTTAGGAGATAAATAATTTCTCTCCTTGTTAAAGTTTAATGAAAAGGTTTGAATATAAGGAGAGAGAAAACAAAAAAGAAGGGTTGTTTTAAGAGATAATTTTTTTAGAATTAGTGTTCAAAGAAACAATTACAATATATTATATATAAGGTAACTATAATATTTTAGGGTCTTTTTATTGGCTAGGCTTTAGCCTAACTCGTCTAAGGCTCGAGCAACTCCTGATTGGTATTGTCCCAATATCTCAATTCTCGGTTTGAAGGTCATACAGTAGTTGTTACAAGAAGGGAGGACATAGTTGTTTGAAGAAAAATAATTATCATGATGGGCATTTGAGAAGGTGAGATGGTGAATTATCACATTTTTTGTTATTATTTTTAGGATCTAATTTTCTGAACATTGAAAGCGGAGTTTTAGGGTTATTCAGATTGTTGCCGAGTTCAAGAGGATTTCATATTGTTGCGGCAGTAAAGTGAAGTTTTAGAGTCTTTTAAAATGGAGATCGTTGTTGTGCAGTTAGAAAATCTCATAATACCAAAAAATAGTAGATATGTTTGTAAAGAGTATGGCAAGTTCAAAAAGTCCACTTTTAGGTGGGTATCAGGTGGTGTTGTATATTTTATCTATATCTATAACAATTTTAATATTTTAAATATTAATTTTAATTACTATTTTAATATTTTAAATATCAACTAATTCCGTAGTCCCAGCAGACGCATAAATAGATTTCATTTCAAATCAAATCAAATCAAATCAAATTCATTTTTCTTTTTCCAAATCGAAATTCCTGATTAAAATACTAGGTTTTGTCTTTCTGGAAGGAGGTATCTCCTCTCTCTCGGTCGGTGAAGACGTTCCAAGTCCTGAATCCTGATGGAATTGGTACAGTGAATGACAACACTACCATATTTCCTCCACTAAAACCTTAATTTTCTTCGTTCACTTTTTGTTCCTATCAAGTATCAACATATCCCAACCCAAAAAAACCCTAGTTTTCATGGCCACAGGGAAGAAACAATCGGAAGGTATAGCCCTGCTCTCCCTCTCCTCCATCTATGGCGACGAAGACGATGAAATGGAGGATATTAACGACGAATACAAAGAAGAACAACAAGACGACTTCATGACTGATGGTAACGACGTTAACATTACAGAAGATGATTCAAAGAACAACAGTGATCAGATTGTTCATTCTGATTCTGCCAATGATTACACACCGCCACTTTCCAATGAAGTTTCTAGCCCTAAATCCCTCAATTTCGGGACTTCGACGCCTCAAAATGATCAGCTTTCTCTCTCATCGCCACAACCACTGCCACCGCAACAACAGCTTCCGTCGGATTCGAATAGAATTAGAAGGGGGACATTAACGATTGTTGATTACGGTCACGATGAAGGTGCACTCTCCCCTGAAGCTGAGGTACACTTTGTTATGTGTATAAAAACCCTGAAGCTGAGGTACACTTTGTTATGTGTATAAAAACCTAGAAAGAAAATTTGAATTATGTGTAGGTTTGATTCACCACTAATGTTTAGTTCTTAGAACTGCTGTATTTTGGATCAATTTTATACTATTTCAAATTTATATGTACAAAAGTAATAAATGACATTTTGAGCACCGACAAACAATGAAATATAGAGAATCAATAAGATGACCCCCCTCAAACAAAGCAGTTAGAAAGAACTAACAATAAGATGACCCTCAAACAAAGCAGTTAGAAAGAACTAACTGGGTGCAACAATTCCTTGTCCTCAATCTGTCGTGGCTCATGACTCCTCTGGTTAATTTTCCTGTAATATTCGCTAACATAGTCTATTTGAATATGAAAGCTTGTCAACCTTGAAAATAGTAGTGCAAAATGCCTGGTGAAACTAATTTTGTAGTTTGAAACGCATTACATTATTAAGAGGAAAAAAATGAATTAGCTGCATACACTCCATGCAGGGCACATGAATTGAAGAATCTAGGAAATACCGAACCACCATGTATAGCTTGAGGTTGTTTGAAAAGCTTCTGTTCCCTCTGCAAATCAATTTTAATCATAAATTACTCCGAAAACAAGCCAATAGTTACTCCAAAGTATGCACTTACAAAGGAGTGTATATATAAAAATATTCATATATGTAAATATTATTTGCGCATTAGACCTGATGTATAAGTATATGAATATCAGTCATAACCAAGAAAAAGGAGCCCCGAAATTGGCGCCCAAGGCAGCTCAGTATTGAGGTCCAAAAAGCAAGTTGTTCAAATAATTATGTGAAGATGATTTAGTTTGTCTGTTGATTGTCTGATTGAATCTCTTTTTGGTTCTGTTAATTGTAGGAGGGAGAAATAGTAACCACTGGTCGTGTTATGTTTGGTGTGGAGCTTCAAACAGCTAACGGTATGTGACTTGTATTTGACGAATACATCTTGCTGGGGTGTGTGTGTAAGTGTGGTGTTTACTATTGTATCTTTCAGTGCCTACTGTTTAGTAAACAATGCTTGATTTTGTAATGATGTAATTCAATTAACTGCTCAGAACTGATTTAATAATTTGAGATCAGTATTACTTTTTTTTTTGGATGAAATTAGAGAAGAGAAGTTATTTCTTTTTAAATCCTATACTTTCTATTCTCAGCCAAACAAAGGAAAACAAGTAGTTCCTCTTCCCCTTTTCACATCTTTCATATTATCTCATCTCTTCTCCTACCAAACAAGAGAAGTGGAATTTTCTTTTATTTTGTTTTTATTTTCTCTCTCTTATCTTCCTTTACTTCTATTTTCCCTCCATTTTCTCTTCCCAACCAAATGATTTTATTTCCTTTCCATCCTTACTCATCTTTTAATATTCCTTCCCTTTTTCATCCCTCCCCACTATACCAAACACAAGGTCATCACATATAATGCAACCATATATGTAACACAAAAATTGTCATATATGATGTCTCATGTTTCATATGTTCTCCTGAACTATTTTCTGAATATTTTCCCTAATAATTGTAGAAAGTACTTTTTTTTTTCACTTCGATAAGGAAGTTAAATGAATTTATGTAGAATTAGAGGAAATGATACTGAAATCAGAATTGACTTGCCGACGTGACTGGTTAACATTTTCCTTGTGTAATTTGGTGGAAAGGCCTTCTAATTGTAAAAAAGGCCCCATCCTCAATCAGAAAAGAAGGGAGATCTGCATTTGAGTTTGTAATAATGTTGTGTTTATCGAGATTTCCTAGTTTGGATATTTTTACATGCATTAACAATCTCTACTCTGAACCTTTTCAAGTTTAATGTGGAACAGTTTTCATAGAAAAGGCTATGACCCAGTGTTTGTCCCTCTGGTGCTGGGTTTTTCTTGGTACATACGTAAGCACATTATAGATTGGTACAAAACTTGAGCTTTGACATTATTTTCAGGAAGTGGTTACTCTCAAACTTGAACCTACTTTTGCACAATTTGACGATATGAGGTTTTACTATTACACTAAGCTGTGGCTTCAGTGGAAACAATGTCAAATGACAATTAATTTAGTGCTCTTAGATGAATATGATAAAATATGCCCACATATATGTACGCTGTGCACACACACACATATTTGTTGCTGGGTTTTCGAGGTCTCACATAAGATTTCTGAAAAATTATGGGAGGTTCTTATTTTCGTCTGTATCTTTGCAAATTGTCTTCAGTTTTAGGTGACTTTCAAGAGAAAACGCCTTCAGGAACTGTCCAGGTCCTAACGCCAAACACTCAAGCAACTCCTCCTCAATCATCTGAACAACTCAATCCATCACAGTCTGATCCAATTAACTATGCTGTAAATGAATCAGAACCTGCAGAGGTTGACAATGCTGATCAAATTTCTATAGAGGTGCCAAAAGATGTTGATCCATTGGACGGGTTTTTGCCCTCGCCTCCAAAATCCAAGTGCTCTGATGAACTTCAAGTAAGTGCCTTTTTCAAAAATTGAAAGCTTATATTATGATTTTGTGCTACTACTATTTTAAAGTGAAGTTGATAAAACACATCATTTGACATTTGGGAACCCTTGTGAAATTGGTCATTATTTATTTATTTCTGTACTTTGTCAGATAATGTTTGAACTTTGAACAAACTCAATACTTTTGTGACTTTAATTTGTTATTGTTTCTATGGTTATGAACTGTTTAGATTGCAGTTTCCAGAACCTTTTTGATACTTTTCCCATTTCATGCATTGATATCTACAAATCTAGGTTCATTTTGGACATGTGATGTAGCTCGGTCTACAATCAGTGGCATTCATACTACATACCAAATTTTTTATTTTTTATTTTTTTTTGGGATTTGTTTGAAGCATTGTTTCCCTTTATTTAGTAATAGTTTATTTTTTGCCAATAAGTGCGCGACTGTTCTAGAATTAGCATCTTTTGAAATTTGACTATAATTTTAAAACCTGACTTGATCTCTTCTTCAAGTATTGTAGCATGTTAGGAGAGTAGGATATTCTCTATTCTTTGCTCTCTTGGCCACGGCAGCGATATCATGCTCTAAATTTGATCATTTTTAAGTTGAGTTGCAGGATTGCTGTAAAACCGCCATTTATACGTTCTATATGGTGCTGCAATTTGTCTCCATTAAGTTCCTAAATGCTACAGTACTACCAGCTCTTAGTTTGGTGGTGTCTTCCTCCACTTCTAAATCACAAGGTGTCTAGTTCAAGTACCTATTTGTTGGATGCCTGTTTATTACTTACAACAGCCTTTAGTAACAATTACCCTTCGATGTTATGTGAGGAATGTCGTAACTCAATGTTCAAGGTGTCCATGTCTTCCAGAGTAGCTGAAAGGTATTGAAGACACTTTTTAAATGAAAATAATATTTACAAATTATGAATACATTTGGGAAGTCCTTATTGAGGGTAATGTTTTTTTTTTTTTTTGATAAGTAAAATTTATTGAAAACGCTCAAAAAAGGGGAGCGGAACCCAAGAAACCAAAAAGGCCACAAAGCGCCTTAAAACTTCAACGAGGCCAAAAATGCAATAATCTCCTCAATAGATTTATAATCTCTCCCTGAAACCCAACAAAAAAGAGTGGAAATAATAGAGAACTTAAGCGTAGAAATAGATTTCTTCTTTCCATCAAAATATCTCCTATTTCGCTCGAGCCAAATGCACCACCAAATACCAAGAGGCGTAGCCCTCCAAGCCTCCCGAATAAGAGCCCCAACAGAGACACTTCTCCAAGCCTCAATCAACCCTTTAGAAGACCTAGGCATAACCCAATGGATTCCAAATAATCCAAGCATCAAATCCCAACAATCTCTGGCCATACTGCAGTGCAAAAGAAGGTGGTCAACGGTCTCCTCATCACACAAGCACATATAACAATGATTGACCACCACTGATTCCTCCTCCTCAAATTATCCTGGGTTAAAATCTTACCTTGGACGGAAGTCCATGCAAAAAAGGCAACCTTAAGGGGGGCTTTAGACCGCCAAATAGACTTCCAAGGGAAAGAGCCTCCATAATCAACCGAAAGGCACTTAAAGAAGGACCTAACCTCGAACCGACCGTGAGAGTTAGGAACCCAAAACCAGTAATCCGAATCCCCAACAATGATCGCCTGACGGTACAAAACTTCGAAAAGACGAGTAACATCCTCAATCTCCCAGTCCTGAAAGTGTCTTCTAAACTGGACATCCCAAGTCAGTCTCCCATTATCAAGGTGGTAACAGTTAACCACTTAACCACCATGGTCTGTCTATGAGAAGCAATCCTATAGAGTCGTGGAAAAGCAAGAGCAAGAGGAAGTTCCCCACACCAAAGATCCTCCCAAAATCTGATCCTTCTGCCATCTTTGATCCGAAAGTGAACATGCTTGCAAAAATCATCCCACCCTTTCCGAATAATAGTTCAGACCCCCGCCCCTCTAGTACCGCGAATCTCAGCAGAACACCACCCACCACTAATCTCCCCAAACTTGCTTACGATAACTCTCCTCCAAAGCCAATTCCTCTCAATTCCAAACCTCCATAACCATTTCTCAAGGAGAGCCTTATTGAAAGGCACCAATCTCCTTAATCCTAAACCTCCACACCGAATTGGACGGCACACCTGCTCCCATCGAACCAAATGAAATTTGAACTCCTCTCCTCTCCCCCCCCAAAGAAAGTTGCGCTGCAATCTCTCTATTCTCTCAGCCACAGAAGAAGGGATCTGAAAGAGCGAGAAGAAATAAGTGGGGAGGCTAGAAAGGGTGTTCTTAATCAGAGTAACCCGACCCCCCTTTGAGAGATACTGCTTTTTCCAACCCGCCAGCCTCTTCTCAAATCTATCCATAACTGGATCCCAACTCCCTACGCATCTCGAAGGAGTTCCCAAAGGCAACCCTAAATAAGAAATGGGAAAGGAACCAGTGCAACATCCAAGAATCTGAGCAAACCTCTCGATCTCAGGGACATCCCCAACAGGTACCAGGATGCTCTTACCAACATTCACCTTAAGGCCAGAGACAACTTGGAACCAAATCAAAACGCATTTCAGATATCTCAATTGACACTCATCAGCATCACAAAGCACTAAAGTATCGTCCGCGAACATCAAGTGGGAGATCTCTAGTTGGTTAGCAACATCCCTGCCCACCCGAAAGCCTTTCAAAAAATCTAACTCCACTGCCTTCTTTAGTAATCTGCTAAGAGCTTCCATCACAAAAAGGAACAGGAATGAAGAAAGCGGATCCCCTTGTCTCAACCCTCTCGAAGAAGAGAAAAAACCCGTCGGAGCTCCATTCACAATGACAGAGAATCGAACACTGGAAATACAAAAAAGAATCCATCTCCTCCAACGCTCACTAAAGCCCATCCTCTCCAATAAGTAGGAAGGAAACTCCAACTAACATGATTATACGCCTTCTCAATATCCAGCTTACATAAAACACCCGGAATCCCACTACTCAACCGGGAATCCATACATTCACTGGCAATAAGAACTGAATCCATAATCTGACGACCTCCCACAAAAGCATACTGAGAATCAGAAATGACGCCATTCATAACTTTCCTCAACCTGGAAGCCAAAACTTTCGCAATCAATTTGTAAAAACATCCTACCAAACTGATAGGACGAAAATCCTTAACATCCATCGCTTCTCCCTTCTTCGGAATAAGAGCAAGAAAGGTGGCATTCAAACTCTTTTCAAAAGAACCCTGAACATGGAAGGCGTGAAAAGAGCTCATCACCTCCTCACGGACCTCTTCCCAGCACTCCAAAAGGAATCTCATAGAAAACCCATCTGGACCAGGAGCTTTATCCCCATTATTGAGGGTAATGTTAGGGGAAAGGGAAAGCCAAAACTAACGTGTTGAGATAGGTATTGGTAGTTGACGGTTGGTGAGAAGTTCATTTTTGAAGTTTCTTGGAAGACTTGAATCTAGGTCCCTGATATGACACAAAGGAGAGTACCGAACAAGTTATTGGCATGTCCACCAAGCGCACATGTTAAAGTAAAAGGGAATTTTTTTCTCCCCTGAACTAACTAAACATGATGAGCTTTTCTAAAGCTTTATGAAAAAGAATCTGTGAAGTTTGAACTAAATGGAGCCTAGCGATATTAGTATTCTCTGGATTTTTTTTTGAGGAACTGACACTTCAAAAGAGTCCCATTATAGACTTCTAAGTGACGTTCTACCGTTCTGTTAATCGATGCAGAGGTGTAGAGTCTGTTATGCTTATCTATTTACAATTGGGTGGTTTGACTTAGCTGGCTCTAAATAATTCCATCAGTAGCTCCTGGGAGATCTTTAAATATATCTCTAGCAGGCTAGAGGGGGCCATAGCGTAATTAGGATTTTCCTCACTTCTTTTGGTAACATGCATTAAATCACTCCCTTCTTTCTATTTTTGAAATAATTTTTACATATTCTAAGATTTGAATAACGTTGATAGGATGAGTTTTCCAGCTTATACCATCAGTTATCATGCAAAAAAATTCAATTACTACTATATTATCTGCAGTTTTATGTAGTTGATTTTATTAGCATATGAAATACTATTTTTTATACTTCCTCCTCACTTTGAGGAGGAGGAGGGTTCAAGCCCAAGTGGAGCAAAATGGGTGGGTGCGTTGCTTACATGTCCCCCCAAAAAAAAAAAACTATTTCTTATGCCCCAATTTTTAATGAAGGGAACCCAACTTATTTGCAAATGTACTTGCCAAAAATATCTTCTTAAAAAATGCTGCTGCTGTTGTGTCTGATCTCTGAAATTGTCCTGAAATCCTTCATTTGACACTGCAGGAAAAAATCAAGAAGTTTCTTGCATATAAGAGAAGTGGAAAAAGCTTTAATTCAGAAGTCCGCAACAGGAAGGAATATCGGAACCCTGACTTCTTGCAGCATGCAGTGATGTATCAAGACATTGATCAGATAGGATCTTGCTTCAGCAAAGATGTATTCGACCCTCGTGGATATGACAAAAGTGACTACTATGATGAAATAGGTCACTAACAATTCCTTGTACTCACCCTCACTTGTCTCTCACCATCTATTATTCTATATAGCTGCGTGCATATGAGATATAAATAATACATTGCAATGGTAGTTTGAGTGTAGTATTCAATATTGGATTTATTCTCTTTCTCCATGTTAGCTTTCATGGCTTTGCAATTTCAACCACAGTCAAACTCGGTTGTGTTCGATGATGTGTAAAGCAGATATGAGAAGTGGTTCCTGAACACTTCCCTTGCGGTTATATTTTGTTGCCATTCGTATTAGTTTTCTGCATTGTTGCCAATTTGAAAAAATCAAAGGAAGATTCTGCCTTACACTTGATCAGGACCATTTAAAAGATAAATTAAAATAAATCAAACATAATAATACTCTTGATCATTGTTGTGTTATTGTTCTTCTCCTGCTTCTTCCGGAACCAAATACAACTAAGCTACTAAGGGTTATTTTCCCCATCATTAGCAGAAGGTCAACATGGTAACAGATTTCATTAACAAATCAAATTAGTATCAGCTTTCTCCATGGTTGAATTTGACTACGCAATTGCCTACAGAGTGTGTGTACATGTTGAATATACTAGTAGATAATATATGACACACAGATATGTGTGAAAGACTGCCTATAATAACAGCCTACATGCACAAGAATTTTTTTTCCCCCCCGAGCTTATGTTAATCTTTGTTCAAGCATTCTAAATCTTCACTAGTCAGGTTTCTTTGATTTATTTTTTATTTTTTATTTTTAATAATTTGTACACCTTCCTCTCTACATGAACTTCCACTTTTTGGCTTGCTGATTGAAGTTTCTTAAAAATTTCTAGCTATTCATATTTTTTCTGTGAAGTCATATTTCTAGTATTGTGCCACTCATGTTATGTATGTTCCTAAGTAGAGGCTGATATGAAACGTGAAATGGAGAGGAAGGAGCAAGAAAAGAAGAAGAGTCAAAAGGTTGAATTTATCGGGGGAGGAACACAGCCTGGAACAATTGCTTCGGCACCAAAAATTAGCATGCCAATTACAGGTCCATAAACCACCTTCTATCATATGAATGCATTGGTTGAAGATGACTTACCAATATTTTTTATATTTGATGATTTGTGAATTCTTTTTCTTTCATTCAGGATAAAAAAAAAAAATTCTCTTTCTGATTATTTGTCTGTAAAGATATAACTGTTTTTTCTTGGTTGATTGCTATTGTTTGCAGGTGTATCCACTGTGGTTGCTGGTGGATTGCATTCAGTTCCAGCTGCAGTTGATGCTGTGGCTCGGGATGGTAGGCAGAATAAGAAATCAAAGTGGGATAAGGTTTCCATAGATGCTGTAATAATTTATAATTTCTTAATGAAAGATAATATTACCATCTTTAAGTCACCATGATTTTCCAAATCAGCTGGTTTAAGGTGGATAAGAGACATATTTTAATCTGCTAGTCACCGTGATTTTCCAATTTTCTGGTTTTAGGTGGATGGTGATCGGAGGAATCCTCTGCCGGCCGGAGGGCAGGATTCTGTATCTGCTGTTGGATCGCATGCGGCCATTCTGTCTGCTGCTAATGCTGGTACTGGATATACTGCTTTTGCGTAAGTTCATCTCTATATCTACATTGACACATTTTATCATTGCTCGTTTGCCTATCTCTCTCTCCATGTATGCGTTTGTGCTTACATTTCCTCTTGGTTTTGCTGTTTTGCATCTGCTAAATGCATTAGAAATATATATTTTTTCTCTTGAGAACATCCTATATTGTATTAAAAATAGGGAAGATAACAGAGTCCTTCATGAATAATGTGGTGTTTTTGAGGATTTTTTTATGATCTGTGTGTCATACGATATTAGTTAATGACGTCACTATGGGCGATTTTTACAGCGATAGAGACTTTGTCTTTTTCTTTCTTCTTTTTTTGTTTTATTCCGCGATGAAATCTTACTTAGAAACTGCAAGGATTCCAAGAATTTCATTAGCTGGGGATGTGAAGTCGGCTGTTCCGTACCGAGGACCGTCTTTGTATATCGACGGGAAGTCCGTCGGAGGGAGGAAATCAGTACTCTCATCTTGCTTGGTTGGTCATTTTGATAAGGAAGTTGGGGCATAGTTGTTCAAGGCTCAAGGCGCACAAAAGCGCAAAGGCCTCCTGGAGCCTGAGGCGCAAGGCGAGGTGCGCGCCCGATTGAAGCAAGGTGCACGATGAAAAAAAAAAAAAAAAAAAACCACCCAATAAAGATGCAAATAGTATATATAAAGATGCAAAATTCAACTAAATCAATTACTTATGTTCAATATTCAACATAAAGGTGTTGTAACAAAATAAACCAGATTTCAATTAGCAAAACTAGATTTCATGTCAATTAGCAAAACCAGATTTCAATTTCAAAGCAATATTAACATTTCAAATTATAAATAAATAAATACAGAGTTGTGCAGTGACTGCAGTCCAATTCCAAACTTCCAGTTCAGTTCATAAAAAGAAAGAAAAGAAGACACAGATTTCATTAAAAAAAAAAAAAAAACAGATTTCATAATAAAAAATAAAAATAAATAAATTAACTTTGTAATTTTCCTTATTGTTCATCAGTACTGTTTTTATGATTTTATCGTACTATATATAATATCTATATACTTGGAACACAACCATTTACATTGGACATATAATTTTATAAATAGCAATCCTAGCAAGCCTGAGATCTTCATAATCAGAAAAAAGACCAATGAAATTAGATTCAAATTGATCACAAAGGAGACAAAGGATTAAATGAAAATTGAAACCAAAACACTACTTGGATTAACAAATCTGTTAGTTGGAAAATTAAATTTTAAATGCCAAACTCAAATAGAAGAAGAAGAATGAGAGAGAAAAAAAAAGAGAATAATTCTGCTGAAGAAGAGAGAATAATTCTGCCGAAGAAGAGAGAAGAAGAAGAAGAGAGAAGAAGAAGAAGAAGAAGAAGAGAAAAGAAGAAGAAGAAGAAGGAGAAGAGAGAGAGAGAGAAAAAAAGAAGAAGCAGCAGAAGAAGAAGAGAAAAGAAGAGAAAAGAAGAAGAAGAAGAAAGAAAAGAAGAGAGAAAAAAAGAGAGAGAAAAGAAGGAGAAGAAGAAGAAGAAAGAAAGAAAAGAAGAGAGAGAAAAGAAGGAGAAGAAGAAGAAGAAGAAAGAAAAGAAGAGAGAAAAAAAGAGAGAGGAAAGAAGGAGATCTACCGAAGAAGAGAGAAGGAGAGAAGAAGAAGAGAGAATACGGAGAGAAGAACTTACCTAGATTCGTGAGAGAGCAGTCAGCAGTCAGCACTCAACAGTTGGCAGATTCTCTTTGATCGCAAGCCCTAGCCCTCTGTCTTCCTCTTTGCTTCAAATCACTTTCCTTTTGCTTTTCCTTTTATTTTATTGTTTTTCATTTTGTAAAGTTGTCTAAAACAGTAATAATAAACACATAACAAATAATAAACAAATAACAAATAATAAAAAAATAACAAATAACAAATAACAAATAAAAAGACAAGGTTAAAAGAAGGCGCGCCTTTGGTACGCATGGCGCCTTGCGCCTCTGCTGTAAAAGCGAGCGCTTGTGTAAAGGGCCGCGCCTTTAGTCCCTTTCAGGCGCATGACTTGCGCCTGTAGGCGCCCTGTGCCTTGGGCGCGCGCCCGAGGCGCTCGCCTTTGGCGCTTTTAACAACCAAGAGTTGGGGGCTGTGATCGTGTGGAGGAATGGGCAGCGAAAGCATGGAATACGTCCTGTGGTGTGGGGGTTACTCCATTATCTGATTCGATGCTTCTTTTCAGGTTTCCTTCTCAGGCCGAAGCCCAATGCGTGTTAAAGGAAGGACGACGTCACTGGGGATCTGCAACTCTACGGATCGATGTGTGGTCTTTTAGGGTTGGATGTTGTGGCGTCCTTAGAGAAAAAGGACTCAAACAGATCCGGATGTTTGGGCTCCCCCTTCATCTATGGTGTCATGCCCTATTTGTTGAAGTAGGGGAGTTATGCGGCGGATTTGTGGGACCTGTTGCCGATGAAACCAGGGATGCCGAGAGTGTTCGTATTACAGTGAGGATAGGATCGACTTGTCCGCAATTTGTGTTCATTAATGATGATACTTTTTGCTACAAGGTGGCGATTTGGGAAGAAATTGCACCGGCGTTGGTTCCCTCAACAGAGAGTATCAAAGGCGGCGAAAGGCCTACTCATATGCCGGAGAAAGGATGGGTACGAGGAAGATCAAGTCAACGACACGCGTCGGTTACGCGCGTCACAGCTGATAATAATTACTCTACACGTGGCGCTCATAGAGTTTCATTTCCAGATTCCACACTATCCTTATCTACAAGGGTTGGTGAGGAAAATGGGCTGGGCCACACAGATTGGCCTAAAGTTGATTTGGGCTGGAGGGGTTATGGGCAAACTAAAGCGTTAAGGCTCAAGCCTGATTTTGGGCCTAAGCCAGCCCATACTAAAAGACGGGTTATTAGAGGACCAAACTCAGTTTCTGTTTCAGTTCTTAATGACCCAGATCCAAGGAAAGCCCAGGTTAAAACTCAAGCCCAAAATCAAACTCTCTCTTCTTCTTCATTTCAGCGTTGGACTGAGAAAGAAAAGTGGAGACGGCTGGTTGGTTCAGCTAGTTGACAAGGTACTCGATGGGCTCGTACTGAAAAACAGAAATGGGTAGTATGCTCTCCTTCTCCTTCTCTAGGTTTGACCCCTGTTTCTCATCCTAAGAGCTCATCTTTTACCCCTTCTTCGAGTAAGGTGTTGGGGAATGGTGAAGGTAGAGTGGAGGATCGTTTGGATCAAGGGAGAGATTTTTCTAAAGCTATTGTACCACGGGATGCAGAATCATCGTCTTCAATGTCCAAGTCCGGAAGTATTGATTGTTCTAACGGGGTGACAGTTTGTGTTGGTCGAGACCTTTATTTTAAACTGAAAGATGATTTAGCCGTGACTTTACTTAATGAACTCAAGCTTTGTGCTACTCTAAAAGGCTTAAATGGCCTACCCCACGTGACTGGGACCAATTCTACCCATGATTTAATGAAAATTTTTTATGGATGACACTGGAACAGAATTGAATTTGCAATTAAACTTGTATCAGAACAGTGCTGAAAGCGAAGGGGAGGACTTTGATGATCAGTCTCAACAGATTTGTCCTCTTGCCTGGGATGTTGATCAATCTGATGTGGACATTATGGAACCCTTAGCAACTGTGCACCCTGATTGCTTAGAGACAGTTAACGATATGGGTATGGACTGGGTGTTGGATAATATTGGCGAGGTCAGCGAAGCTTTGGGTGTCTCCTTGGAAGGAGATGATGATCGAACACAAATCATTCTTCATGATATTGTGGAAGGAAACAATAATGTAGAGACCTTTAAAAGCACAAAAGTTGTTAAAAATAAGAAACATGCACATCGGAAAGGTGATCAGGAGGTTAATAACCTTATTTCCAATATCAATTACGAAGGAAAGGATGGGGTGAATAAAGAAAGGGGAAGGACTAGAAGTGGGAAGCAGGGAGGAGGGGCACTAATTATCTTTGGTTCTCAATGAAGATACGAATTATTACATGGAACGTCCGTGGATTAAATGATCTGAACAAAAGAAAGGTGGTTAAAGTTGCTTTGAAGAAGTGGAATGCCCATGTTATTTGCTTGCAAGAAACCAAGTTGGCTTCTATTTCTAATGCCGTGGTTAGAAGCCTTTGGGGAAGTAGGTTCGTGGATTAGGAAGCTTTGAACGCCTATGGTACATCAGGCGGTATTCTTATTATGTGGGATCGTAAATGGATGTCTAGAACGAATATCTGGAAAAGGGTTATTTTCTTTGTCTTGCGTGTTTCAGATGGAAGATGATAACTTCAGTTGGGTATTTTCTGGAGTTTATGGACCTGTTATTGATTGTGTTAGACCTGCTTTTTGGCAAGAACTCAGTTACATTAAGGATTTGTTGCCTTGGTGCTTAGGCAGGGATTTCAATTCTGTTCGGTCTCCATTTGAAAGATCCACAGGGGGGAGGTGGTCTTCAGAGATTACCCAGTTCTCTGACTTTATTGATGGTCACCTTCTTATTGACTTGCCTTTGGAAGGGGCAACTTTCACTTGGTCTAGTGGCAGAGACCCAGTTACTTTATCGAGGCTTGATAGATTCCTGATTTCTGGAGATTGGGAGGAGAAGTTTCGGATGTCACTCAGTCAGCTTTGGTTAGAGTCACGTCTGTGCCCTTAGTTCTTGATTGTGGAGGCATGAGATCTAGACGGACTCCATTTCGTTTCGAAAATATGTGGTTGAGAGCCGAGGACTCCCAAGGGAAGGTCCAGTCCTAGTGGGAAGAAACAACGCTTACTGGCTCTAATAGCTATGTGCTTGCTAAGAAGTTTTAGACTCTCAAATCTGAGCTTAAGAAATGGAATAAAGAAGTGTTTGGGAATCTTGAATGGAAGAAAAATAGAGTCCTGGCTGATATCGCTGATCTTGATTGTCTTGATGAGACAGGGCAAGATACGGATTCTCTTTGCTCTAGAAGAGCGTCTTGTTAGGCGACTTTTGCTGAGATTGCTACTATGGAGGAGATATCGTGGCGTCAGAAATCTCGG